GAAGTTTCTTAAGATTCTTAGCTCTCGAATTATTGGTTTGTTGGTGAGTATGTTTCATGAATATCTTGTTGGTGCCATTGTGTATTCTCTGATGGTTCTAGCATTTCGAATGAAGCATCGATGCACAAGCAATTAGTCTTAACAATAACGAAATGGTATTTATGACTTAAAATATAGGTTTATTAACCCTTCTATGTTAAGGGTTGTTTTCTCAATTTAATGAGCACTGTATTTAAAGTTCTAAATTCTTTTTACACGCAAACCCCTTTGAATCATTACAAAACCAACACTGAAACCTCCTTCCACGCGACAATTTCCTAAAACTACCATTGAAACGACTATTACCTATTCCTGAAACTCCAAATCCTCCTTTTACCTGGGAGTTTTCTACGATTTTTATGAAACAAGTACCATCCACCTCCGAACTTCCGAACCGTTTTCTCTCGCGAAGATTTTCCGCGATTTTTACGAGTACCGGGGAAACAGCGAACGCGCCGAACGAGAGTATCGTCCAACGAGAGGAAGAGGACACGGGGCGAGCCGTATCTCGCGAAAGATGGGAAAAGGTTCCCGTAGCGTTCTCCAAAAGGGTACACGCCGGCCGAACGGCGTCCATCGCAAAACAGAACTTACGCAAGCGAGCTCGCACGAAATGCGGGCTCCTGCAGCAAGCACGAGGGAAACTATTTAAAGGTCACGCATATATTTCGCGGCGACGGTGCAGCTGCACGTCGGCCACGTAAAAATATGCGAGCGAACGCTCGCGCGCTCGTTTCGCGGCACCCGAACGTGCCTGCCCCTGCGTATTGTCTCCACCAATGTTTACACCTACGTGAGCAGCCAGCTCGATTAATAAACCCCGATTTTCTGCCTCCCCTTTTTTCGCTGTCGGGACTTTTTAATGGAACCTGCTCGACGTATAAAGCTGTTCGAGGCTAATACACACTGGAAGTGATTCATTAACCCCTGACGCTCTTCCAAAATGTCCAGGCCTAATGTGCAATTTAATAAATACAGGAATATGATTTATTTTCTATGCAAGTATGAATGACAAGCTTTGGCGGGAAGAATCTATTAGTGGCAATTTTGTGTTGATGATCCAATGACGGGAACAATATTAATAAGTAACTTTAAGGTTATTAAGGTTATTAATAGTAGTGTGTATAGAGAACACTTGTGCAATAAGGGGTTAATTGGACAGAAAAGGAAGAAGGTTTGATCCGTAAGACGTGGAAAAGATTCCGGCACCCCGAAATTTGGCACTAACTTTACACCTTGTAATTATGACGTGTGATGAATTTAATTGGCGTCGGGAGGCTGCGTTTATCAACCTGAACCTGTTATTGCAATACGAGCCACGTGCGGAGAGAGATACTTCATGTATAATTACGGAGAATTTAGTTAAGTCTGATGCTTAAACCCTTGTTGTGTGCTCTGGTAACGTGTAATACTGGTGTCTCGACTATAAAAACATAATTGTAGTCATTTTTCGAGGTACGCTCGATGGGATTGATGTCAGCATTGTCCTCCGAAAAAATCTCGCCGTTTTCGGAGAAAGTTGCCTTACAAGGAGTGGAGATTTTATCAGCTTCGTTGGAAATTAACTGGTCGTGTGATTCAAAATTATTGTCAATTTGTTGAGTTTTTCTGTTATCAATTACCATGAAATTTTCAATCTAATTTCTATTTTAATTCATTATTGCTTGCTGTATCTAAAACAAAACATACCACCTCATACCCATTGAACTTTAATTAAAATCTTCACTGCGACAGGCACTGCCTGCCTCGATATAACAAATATTCGTCGCGACAAGGAAATATTCAATGGTTATATATTTTAGAAACATAATTTAGCTACAAATAAAACAAAAGTTTAAAGAAACCTTCATTGAGTCTTACATTATATTAACAAATGTATAATAAAATAAGAATTAATTTCAAAATTGCACGAATAGATAAAATCAAACAACAAAGACACTTAAATATTCGGTTACCTTAACACTAAACCTACCGAGCAGTTAAACTGACTTGTTAAAATTCAACAACTTCAGGGGTGCATCTATCGAGACTGTAATTGATTTACAATTCAGTTTGCGTATTGCTAAATCAATTTCTCGAATAATTTCTCATAGAAATATCCGTTATCTTCTTAATCATTGCAAAAAGAAAAAATTGAGGAATGGATTATTTTGATCTCTCCGATAGGTTTAGTGTTAAAGATTCGATGAGATCATTGAAAAATCCAGCTCAATTACAGAATAATTCACTATGGATGAATTTATCCAATTCCGCCCACGTCGGTACGTGTTCCTCCACAGATTTCTCAATGAAGGGCAGAGATTTTCCAAAGCGAGCCGCGCAGGATCGCAAGGTACGAGCGAAATCTGGCAGGAAAGTGCGAGGAAGCCGAAGCCAAAGCCGTGGCGCGCGCGAAATGAGATTAAAGGAAGGGAGCGGAGGAGCGAATGCAATCGACCTCGTCTTATTTATTAAAGCAAAGAGTACGAGGCAAGGGTCGGTCGGATGCCTCGGCCTTTAGAGGCCAGCCACTCTTTACGAGCGCAGACCGGGATCGTCATAAACACGTGTAGCTACCGCTCGCCGCGGATTCAATTGTTATTGCAATCGTCGCCGACAGAAGGCAAACCGTCGCCTGCAGGTCTCTTTATTCTTGCACACGTGAACCGAGGAATGTGGAAAAACCGACTCGCATCAATCGTCGGTTTCAATTGCTGTAGCGGCTCGCGATCGAATCGCGCTATTATTAACTAGGGTTAATTGGCTAAAGAAATAATTAAGGTTAATAGTTAATTTATATTTGTATCGGAGACTTGCATCGATCATCAGATTCAATTATTTTTGCAGCTCGCCCGTTGGAGTATAGTTGAAAGCAATTGGCCGGTGAAGTTATCAAATTTAGTAATTAATTTATATTCGCATCGGGGACTTGTCGGATACAATTATTTTTGAATTGGATGAAGAAGTTATCGAATCTAGTAATTAATTTCTATTTGTATCGGAGATTTGCATCGATCGTAGGATTTAATTACTGTAGTGACCCGTGATTGGACCGTAGGATGTAGAGATAATTATGTACAGAAGTAATTAAATATTTACACACAGTTGCATTGAACGTAGAAAATAATGTTGTATGAACCGGTATCGATTGAATTAATATAAATTAGTTCTTGAAAATAACCCCATCATTCACAAATTCCTGGATTTAACGTCTAGCTTCCTCAATTAGTTCAATGAATTTAATTCTGAATATTGGGACATATATTACGTGTGAAGCGCTGACAAAGACTTAATAGCAGACAGACTTGGAAGGTATTCAAGATTCCAAATAAATATTGTCCGAGACTCGTGGAAGCTCGATACTCTGTATTTATATTCCTTTGAAGTGACAAAAGCCGAGTAGAGTAGCTAACATTCATGGAACATCAAATTCCCTTCGGATAGTTACTCTAAAGCTTGTAAAGTGGGCATTCGCATTTGGGAATCCGCTGACACCGCCGACTGTGCTACTTAAATATAGCGGTACTTGAGGTCACAAATTAACTACAAATTAAACACAACGTTGCAACGCTTGATTCACCGCGTGTTGACTCTCGATCAAATCGAACGTTACAACCGTCCGATATTCACCGTATCGTAAACCGACTAACACCGATACGGATTAATCCCGAAGATCGCCGATCGATCTCAGAATCAACCAATCCGCTCAAGGAAACTAACATCCCCCTCGCTTAATACGATCTAATTGCGGGCGAAGCCGCAACCGAACGGTACCATTCGAATTGATATTCACGACAGTAACTCGACCGACTGTCCGGCTAGCGGAGAGGAAAGAGGAGCGGTAAACTGATTAATCGCCGTCTTTAATAACCCCTTTCAATAACTCGAATTTATAATCCAGTTTCGGGACACCCTCCGCGGGCGGATATTAAATTTCGCTTTCTCAGGAGGAAGCGCGGCCGCGCGCGACCGCTGGCTAGGGGTAACGATATAAAGCGCAACTTTCCCAAAGAAATTTCCAACGGAAGACAAATAACAACGGTCGTCAGCGGAACGCTATTAGCTTTGAGTTACGTCGACAGAGGAGATCGCTTAGTCGCAAAGTAGTTCTATGGTAGTCCTCCCCCAGCCCGTTCGCCCCCACGCCATTCACCCACCACCGCCATCAGCCGACGAAGTTCAGCCTTAAACTTATTAAAAGGTATTTAGAAGTCCGGGCCCTCTGTTTGCCGCACGAACCGGGCTAGCCGATCCGTAGAAATTTAATTAGCCGGTGGAAAGGTCGGTTCAACCGACTAAAATTATTTTCCGCAAAAGAACTGGTGCCCCCTATCGCAGCTCGCGGATCTTCAAGGCCACGAAACGTCTGTCTCGCATCGCTCCCCTCAGTCCATAAAAATTCAACGATGCACATCTACTAGCACACTCTCTCTTTCTCTCTCTCTCTCTTACTCTCTCACTCTCTCCCTCTCTCTCTCTCTCTTTCTCTCTTTCTCTCTTCTCCTCTCTTTCTCAATCTTTAGCGTCTCCCTTTCCATGCGCTTGCGCCGCCATGACGCACGCACACGTACAAACCCCAGACACGCAGGGAGATAGAGAGAGACCGCGGCAGCGTGTGCACGCGATTAAAGCGACGCGTGTATGCGTGAACGGCGTCGCGATTAAACGATAATAAAGTTCACGAATGGCCTTAAATGCCATTCCTAATTTAAACGCATGCGTAAGATCGCGGGCTTAAGGATATACGCGCCGCGCCGGTTACCCGCGCCTAACCTTTCCGACCGGCTCGCCCGTCTCCCGAGTACACACCAATGGAGATAAACTAACGTCCTCGGACAGAAACGAAGCATGAATCAGCCGGGACGCGATAACGCGATAAATATATCGTCCGAGGCGACGTTCGTTACCCGGCGAACGTTCACCGGTGAGGTTACCAAGGTACCACTATCAAGAGTCAAAGGAATCTCGTTCGAAACACTCACCACCGGTCCTCTTTCATCTCCATCGGTTCCAGGTCTCGATTTGCTCCTGTCAGCCTCATTTCGCGGGAAATCTCACGGGTGACACCGAAGAAAACTCCTTCGAAACTCGAGCAATGTCCACCGGTGAGTAACGGCCGCCGCGGTCCAAATGCGCTCTTTTTCCGCGGGAACGGTAAAGAAAAGCGCGGGAAATTTGAATGCCGCAGTCGGACCGTTGCTAACAGCAAACGGCGGCGACATCTAGCGGCGGCGCGGGAAAGGTGTGGGTACTCGGCAATTTACGCGAGGATCGAGACTAGCGTGGTGGGGCGGAGAAAGCCGAGGAGAGAGGTTCCACGACGCTCGTTGTGTGGACGTCGTTTCGGGTTGAGGTGGAGGGGGCGTCTAGACGCAACGTCACGAGTACGTAGCCTCCCCCCTGAGCCACTGTCGGTCTGCCCGCCGCCTTCCCCGCTGATCCCCGACCATGCCCCTCGCCAATGATACCGGCTGTTCCTCCCCCTTCGCCGCCTCTCGTCCTGATGCCACGCCGATGACGGTCGCAGCCAGACACTCCCGTGCGCTGCGAGGGACCGGGAGGGGGGCCGGCGAGGGTGACTCCGGCTTTTTGGTTAGGAATTGTTGCCGGTCCACGCACGTGTCTGCGGGCCACGCGTGTATGCGTGGAGCTCGTCTGCACGTGGTGCCTGCGGACTGCTCGGTGCGGTTCCACGAGCTACGGGAGAGCACGGGGCGAACCGCTACGGGTGTATACGCGGGCTGGCTAGAAAGAGAGAGAGGTGAGCATGGTCAGGACGTTCAGGGAGCAGGAGGAAGGAGGAAGGAATATACCTTGCGGATTTGTATCAGCGCGTACCCGACGATCCACCCAGATGGAGGGTGCGTCAAAGTGGCCGCGAATTGAGTTTTCCTCGGGGCACGTATAATTCTAGCCCCCCTTCTTTCTTTCTCGCTCTCCGTCCCTCGACGTCTACCGTCTACCCGTTCAACCCCCACCTCACCCTTAATTCTCTTGTTCTCCGTCTCTCTTTCCCGTCTGCCTTTCAATCTTGCGCTTTCAACTAACCGCCGTGTCGGGACACGTGCCGGTCAGCTCGCTAGGGTTACGCGTGTCTCTTTCTGTCTGTCTGTTACGCGTGTGTATATTTATATTCGACGTGTGCACGCACGTCGTGAGAGGTGGGTCAATCCCCGAGTGGCGGGATCAAAACGTGTCCCTGAAAAATCGGCGTCGCCGGTTATACGGGTCGCGTGAAACGCGTTCGAAAGCCGCGCGCTACCGGGGCTCGGCTCTGAGTAGGCTGATGATCCGAATGCCGGTGCTAGCGGGATAAGCGATTTTTTGGTGTTTCAGCGACTTCAACCTCGCTGGCTCGCTAGCGCTGGCGTTTTTCACGCGGCCCGCTGAATACGGTCCGCAGAGTAACGCGGCGAAAAGGCCTTTTTGTTTTGAACGCCTTGCACGCTCGCGACTCCGCGCTTTCACGCCGCATTTGCCGGATACGCGCTGTTTTTTTTCCTTCGTTTTGTTGTTTTTTCCGTTTTGTCTGTT